CTTATTTGTAAGTAACAATAACATAGCACAATGGAAGGAGACACTATACTACTGAAGCCACAGTTCAAGCAAAACATTCAAAGTAACCTTTCGAATAGATCTCGCCAAAAAATCTCAAACAAAATGTTATTATCGTTTTAACACATCAATCTCATCATTATCAAGTTATCTAATCTAGTTCTTTAAACAAATAAAAAATAATAAAGGTTTGTGTCAGATTTAGGATTTGTTAGTTTGGAAAATAATGCCGTAACTGTAATGGTGATCGTTGTACGTTGGCAAATAAAGCGGAACAAATTATTGTGGCTGCCGCCCGCGCCTTCGATGTAGGGTATACGGAACGGAGCGTAAAGCAATCACAAACCAATCACGTCCTTAATCCATGGAGTGAAGGGATAAATTAGTTTGAGTCGCCCGTGGGAATGACCGATACGATATAAGATGACGCAGTACACGACTGAATATTTCAAATGCTTGACTTCTTCAAATTGCATTAAACTGCTCCTATAGTCAATGCTCAAGTTATGAAACTATTTAGAGTAGTTATTCGAGGCATGAACATTAGAGTTGTTTCACGGTTAAAACTGGTCAGATATAAGTTTCATGATGTTACTGGGTATGTTTATTATTTTATCTATTTTCAACACATTCCTAGGCTTGTGTGAAGTGCCCACTCGGCTGTGAGTAATCACTTAACGATGAAATCTTGCACGAAACCCAAACAGGACCTGTGACTCATAGATCAGATAGCTGACTGAGCTGACCACACTGATTCATGACTTTAAGTGGAGCTTTAATGGTTTCTCTTCGAGTAAGTTTCTTTGCTGTTTTATATATTACTGAGGGCAGTCCCAGACTTAGATAGCTTCACAATAATAAGTGTATTAAATGTACGTCTTCTTAATGGTTTTTAGAATATTACTGTTGCTCCTTTTGCATAATATACTCATTTAAACAGGAATATTTTGTCTTTAAGATGAAAATTATGTTATAAGATGAAAGCGGAAAGGACAATTACACTCGTCTCCTAGATCATGATCCAATTACAAGGACGACGACGTTAACTAACCCATTTGTTACCATCAATTGGATAACGAAATACATAATTCAAATTCGTATCCCATTAGGTTTTTAAATGTGACGACCATGATATTAATGTATCACCACCACAGATGGGGCCCAACAGGGCTGATGCCGTTACGGAAGACTTAACGGGTTGCCGAGGCTCCGGCTCGAAGTGCAGGAGTAGGAACGGGGTGGTTTTTAGTCAGTAAGAGTCTGACACTCCCTCTCGCCTCACCCGGGCGGGAGAAGCCATTGGATGATTTTCCCCCCTAAAAAAAATTGGAATATTTCTATTGGAAAGCACCGTCAAAGAAAATGTTTTGCCTTATTGGCAATTATTCGGCGGCTTATATTATTTTAGTCACTATATTCGTGCAATCTTGAAAAAAAATGGCGCTAAAATATTTTTACTAGGTGAACGCAACAATTGTATTTAATGAATCCCCAAGGTTAGGTAACTAGCTGATGATAGAAGCGGATGAAGTTGAATCAAGTAGATATCAAGGACATTTTCTTCTAGTCCTAAAACACGTTGAATTGCATTACAATCTGCTGTGGAAATAGGGATTTTTGCACCTCTTTTATAGGATTAACTACGTTCGTGGGGAGTTGTGAGGACCCAAACAAGATGAAAGCTCGGGCGCTCCGGGAAAATCACGACTGGTTAACGAAGGGCTTAAAACATTGTGCTAACCTTGGTTACGTCAATTAACATTTAGGTACTACAAAGGTTACGGAAACGTTTGTTCAAATTCAATTGGATTTTTCCAAGTTTCTTTTTTTCTAATGCAATAAGCAGACCTACAGCGACCAGAAAATAAAAATCTAAATTCATATGGGGCGTCTATTGTTAACAACTTTCAATTGTACTTTTTCTTAACATTCTGCGATATCTCGAATTACGATTTTTGCAGATGCTTTGTGAATCTTGTGAATGCAGTGTGTTTTACAGAGCCAAAAAAGTTAAGTAGTAAAAAATGAGGTATCCACAAGAGGTATTACCAACTTATATTTTATTTTTATACAATAACCACACAACGAAGCATGAAAGGCGTCGAGCAGTGACGGGCGTAATGCAGTCGTGTTCTATGCGATGTAAATTTTAATTATAATAGTCGCCACTGTTGGCGCCAACTCTTTGTACGGCTGCAAAATAAAACAGCACCGCATATTTAAATAAACGCGCACACGATTCAGTTTGCTTGTCCTTGGGTGTAATTATTTAATAAGGTATATTAAAAACGAGGTTTCAGCCCGTCAAATCCATAACAAATCCATTATAGACCTTAACCTTCCTCAAAAATTACAGCAGCTACTGCTAAAAAGACAAAATTGCTGATGGGATTGAGTACAATCCACGAGAGTGATAACTATCACCAGCTACAAAGGAGCAGGCAACCACATCTGCTGCTGCAGCTGTTTACCAAGATTATGGTATTAATGGCAAAGCCTCATTGAAAGGGGTACCTTCAATTCAACCAGGTTTTTGGTCTTCTGGCTCATGACAATATTGGGATTTTGAGTTTCATATACCTATTGGTGTGCACTGTCTCTGTACCGAGTCAATCCTTCTTTCTCACTCGCAAACCAACTAACTGGGTTGACTATAGAATTATGTTACGAAGCATAAAAAACTACACAATCAGAATTAAATTTACAAGCATAGCAGCTATAGTATACAAATTAAGTACAGACATGTATGCCATGTGTTTGGGTTGATATTGTGGAATGTATAGAACTTTGCATACCACTTTATTATGGTCTCAATTTCAATGATCTATCCGCACATACGTCAGTCAATTTATATTGGTTTTGTATAGGTTGATATGTACTTGCGTGCACATGTGTATTTGATTTTACTGCTCGGAAGACTCATTAACTCGTCGAGTACCGTATTTATAGACACAATTAAAGAACAATAGGTTGCGGTCACCGGTGACCGCTTGGTGTTTGACAGTTTAATGTCTTTCATTGCTGTAAGGTTTTCTTAGAATAGAAGGCACAGATAATCAAACAGACTGATGGTGGATACCAGATCTACTAATTTAGAATAGTGATGTCACAAGTAACACATACAAGTGTACACTTGATGAACAAAACTTATATTATTAAGCATTTTGATAATAAACAAAGCACTTTCTATGTAACTAAGTGAAAAGTTTGTGGTACGACTTTGACATTGAAGAAATAAATAGTTTTATAGGCAGTTTACTTTTGCATGATCAAAATTGCATGAATGACAATTTTCAGTCCTCACATAGCTTCTTAACTAACTTCCTCACAATGAAACAAAACAAAACGTTTTTGTATCCATTTTATATTTATCTATTAATCTCATATTATATTAAATCCAATTAAACTGTCAAACACCGCGAGGATACCGGTGACCGCAACCTATTGTTCTTTTATTGTGTCTATAAATACGGTACTCGAAGGGTTAAAATTAAAGTAAGACAAGAAAATTTATTTGCATACACATTTCCCCTACCCGAACTTACATATATTTTAGTATAATTAAATGAAATGTGACAGTGAAGGTAACAGTCATCTAATCACACATTAGGAAACCAGCCCTTAGATATAGGTCTCCTAAGTTTGGAAAGGTGAGTACTGTATGAGATTAAGTAAAACATGTATCTAGGTATTCCATTTGTAGCAATAATTGGTGTGTACTCAGTCAGGTTCTATTAACCTTTTCCACCCAAATATATTTGAAGTAGTACAACTATCTCTGTTTTGTTTCTGCTTCAATACTTGTTGCTGTTATGATGATATTCATTATTACAAGTAAAACGAATGCACTTTAGCAGGGCTAAACAATGCTGGTCACTTACTTATTTAAAAAACGAAAGATACACAAAGATTGACTTGTATAACATGACAAAAGATAATGCACTACCTAACAGTCCCCCAAAACCTAAATTATGAACTGCCAAATCGTTGTCAGATAACCTTATCAAGATAAAGTTATAAATTCAAGTTTCTGTCGATTTATATGATTGTGACGCAGTAATTTATGGCATTATACCAAAACCGACAACAAAAATATCAAAGATAACATCATACTAGTCCAGTTAGGGCCGGCAGGAAATAATTATAATAATATACTTATAAAAATAAACCGGAGAAAAGCGATTCAGGAAACAAAGTTACACATCTTTGGATTCATAATAAATAGTAAATACTTACATAAAACCGGTCAAGTTTAATTATGCGTAAGCTTCTCTTTATTTACCACTAGTCCAACATGGAACACATCGTAGGTAATATATTCACTAGAATTCTGTAAATTACTTAGTTGTCCACAGCTGACTCTAGCGATAAACCAACGTTTATTCTGCGATAAAAACTACACAACACTCGGAAATTATATTGCACAACGTCACAGGAATTGATACTGTCAAATTAACTACAACTTTCAAACATGAATGTTCACTCTACGATTCTTTACCACCCAAATTCACATCACCATTTATTGCGCACGCAGTACTGAGTCGACATTCATATCGGCCATTCCATTCGGCTAACAACGAAGTCAAGTCAACGAAATGTAACGACGATGGACGACTGACCTGACATTTAGAAATGTTACCAGACTTAGATAAAATATTTTACTAATACTAAAATAAAGATACCAAAAATGTTCCGAGCTGTAGTAGCTATAATTTTTACAGTATCAGAAATTTTAATAATATCGTAGGAAATCATTCATTAAATCCAAATGATTTTATTTATTTTCATTGAGTTATCCTAAAGTCGATTAGTCGACTAAAGTAACGAACGAAACGATAATGGTTCCGAAACAAAAACTGGGAGCGACCGATCAATGAAAGTCAAAAATGTCAAAACAAATTAAATCAACAAACTGACGTGTACTTTGCATTATTTTTATAAATGAAATAAAACTTTGATAAATAAATTTGATTACATTGAAAATGTCTGAATCAGAAAGACTTTTACAAAATGAAGCTGGACCATCTGAGGGCACAGAAAGGGGTGAAGGTGATGCACCACCAGCTGCATCCGTATCTGAACGGGAAGCATACTTTCAAGCCCTTCGATTATGGATCCAGCAGGCACAAATGTATCAGAACCTATCCACTTGTTTTCCTTACTATATGATGTCATTTCAAGGCTTACAAAATAATGCTACTAATGTACCTCTTTTGAATAACAACTATCAGTTTCAAATGCCCTTTCAAGTTCCCAATGCGCCTCGGAACGCTCCAGAAACACAGCCGCAGCCCGAAACACTCACTCCTGCTGAAGGTAGCGCTGATTTATTATGAGTGATGTTATTGTTTTAATTCAATGTTTAACTCATTAAGATAATAATTATTTATATAATGAATGAATAAGGTAATATGCCTATTTGTATCATAGTGTGTTATTTATATCCTATATTTAGAGACAATTTATGAAAACATTATTGTAATATTTTCAAAAAATTTCTTCTGTGTACCCATATTTAGTATAGATTTTAATCTTAATAGTAAATAAAATTATTTATTATGTTCATTGTGTTTCAGTGATAGCTCGCCATGGTGGATTTGAGTATGTAATACCACCTTTACACAAGCGCCTTGTTGCTGAATTCATTGACTTCATGCTCCTGTTTATTGTAAAACTAATAGTGACCTTCATGGCAGTGGATATGTTTGAATTGATGTGAGTATTTAACTCAAATTGTACTTTTGTATCAATAATATTCTTATTAGACTACGCTTATACATAATGTTTTAATAAAAAAATGGGTCAGAAGGTAAATTTAAAAATATCTGACTGAATAGTGATGTTGCATTAGATTGGATTTTAAAAATTCTTATTAGAATTAACATTGAAAAAACATAGAATTATGTTTTAGCATAGACTAAAGGCAATATTTAGGGACTAAAACATATTACATTGTAAAAAATCCTTATATTTGTTTTGATTGCAGTGACCTTGACAAGTTTGATTTCTACAAGTTCAGCGAGCACTATGATGACTACAAGTATGCAATGGAGTTGACATCTGAGATACTATTTCTTGAAGTCATTTACAGAATATTGGTGTGCATATTCGAGGTAAATTATTTTATTTCTTGTTTTAATTATTTCAAAAACCATTTGTAATAATACCATTCATAAGGAAATCATTGCAGATAATATTGTAAATTTTTAATCAGTTAAGTTTTTTTAACTCGTCGAGTACCGGTTTTATAGACACAATTAAAGAACAATAGGTCGCGGTCACCGGTGACCGCTTGGTGTTTGACAGATTAAGGGCATACATTATATAAACACATAATTATGTGATGTGTAGAGCTTGGTCAATTGGTCATACCTAAGTAAAAGTTATTTTGAATATAAAGAATTTACAAATTTTTCTCTCCATTATATTTTCAGGCTTTCTGCTTGTCCAGTAGTGTGGGACGAACAGGCGGCGCGACTCCCGGCAAGGCATTACTTGGTATCCGCGTAGTGACGGCGTCTGCCGTCATACCTGTGGAGGGTCGACCTAGGGAGACTGTTCTCCTATACCCTGGCCGAACACTTTCTTTCACTGTGGCACTGATCAGGTCACTAATGAAAAACTTCCTTATTTCCCTACTATTTCCTCTCTGTGTGGTACTCTTTGTATTTCGCCACAACCGCACCGGCTATGATTTACTCTGTGGAGTTATTGTCGTTGAAGAAAACATGTACCCACCAAGGCGTCATGCTCCATGAGTTTGTACAATTTTATTTAATTAAGAAAATATTTTGAAAAGGACAAGGTTGTTGAGTTGTGTGGTATGGTGTTGCTGAATTCCTAATTTATTTGTAGGTTTCCTCGATCATTCTTTATTGCTCTGTGGTACATAAACCATAAATATCTCCCATTAAAGTTTCTGACAAAGGTATTTACACAAATGACAAGAATCCACAATCAACATTTTTGATCTTTAAATTATGCTTTCAAAATGTGTCTAGTTGTTATTATTTTTTACCAAATTTAAGTATGTTTATCAGCCATTGCTAACACAAATATAACAATAGGTAGCATTATACATTTATTTAAAAAAAATATCTGTAATGTTTTATCACTTGCCGAATTGAAATTCCTATGATAAATACATCACCAAAGAATCGGAACTACTAGCGTTTAAGCATGTATTCTACATGATATAAAAACATACAGTGCATCCAAATTATAATAATTTGTATGTTTCAAGAGATAGTCTTGACAATGGCGGTTATAGATTTATTTATTTTTACAAATCACAATATACAATGTGATAGAAAAAGTGCTGCCTGATTTGTTAAGATATTGTTGAGCTAGTAGAGAAGACATTATTCTTCATTGTAAATCTTCAAATCTTGTTAGGTATAAGTTGTACTTTCCAGATGCAAATGTATGAATTTTAGACTTGTCACAAACATTTGTGTTTATATTACTTTTGTTTTTTTCTTATTTCTTTCTATTTATCATTTTTATGGAAAAAAAAACTTTTCATATCGGACAGTATTTTTTGTAACACTGTATTTGAATTAGGCATAGAAATATTTTATTTTAATGAATGGAAAATTTAAGTTTATCCTATTACGTTTGTAATGCACAGTTCAGTTTATTTGCTGTTTGCTGGGTGTATTTATTATAAGTGTTTAAATATTGCGAAATGGTTTCTTTCTTGTTGAAAGCCCGAAAGGGATATAATATGAAATGTAATAAAATGGATAAATGTTGGGTGTTCTATATAATTTTTAAGTAGTAACATTATCTGTACAATGATATAATATACTTTATAACAATGACTATTGTTTTAAGTTTAGAAATATTTAAAATACAAAGGTTTTCTTTAAATTATTTTGTCCTCTTTGGTTTTTAACTAGAAGGCCCAGGTTAATGTTAATAACTGCATATTATATTATCAAGTGCAACAAAATTTATAGTACAGTGTTGGCATTATAATCGTGAATCGTTTATTTTTTCAGATTAGTTTAAGTACTAAGTACCTAATACTGGTTTAAATACTGAGTTATAAAATTGTGATATTTATTTTTGTGCATTGTATTATATTGTAAATATTAAAATAAAATGTAAAATTCTAAAAATCGTCTCATTTTTATCAATCTTTCTAGTAGTTTTTTTTTAACAAATTGATTCCGCATCAAAATCGGTTCAGCCAATAGCGAGATAATTGCGCACATACATACAGGTCAAAATAGAACCTCCTTTTTTCCTTTTTGAAGTCAGTTAAAAATGGCAGGAGACGAATCATGTCAAAATGTCTATTTCAGATTCCCCTTGCGAAAATCTCTCATTAGTTTATACTTAGGTGGTATAAATTAGGCCGCCTTTGCTATGTATTTTAAAAAAGAAAAATGTACTAACATAGGCCTTAAATCTAAACTCGTCGAAACTTTAACGTTTGATGGCGAACCGAGGCCTTAGTATAACTTTGTTTCACGTTTAAAGTAATCGAAACGAGTACGCATTCGGCGCTCTGATTGGCCGGCTGCAATGAACTAACCAATCGGAGCGCAGAAGGCAGACTCGTTTCGATTATTTTTAACGTGAAACAAACTCGTACTAAGCCCTCTGGTTGGCTGAACTGGCTGGTTTGACTGGAACCCTTGTAATGCGCTTATGCACTGCAAGGAAAGGGCTGGAAAGGAATGAGTACCTAATATGAGTTCACATTAGGGGGTGTGCCATGGATTGACTTGACAGAGCGCAATAACTGATGCTCCCCCTCCATACCTTAGGTATATGTACGTGCGGACCAGACCGTGTCTTCCTTGATCGTCTAGTGGTTTATAATTTTTGAATAAGAAAATCATCAATTTGTGGAGTAGAGCCCGTTCAACGTTAATAGACGTCGCGGCAGGCCAATGTGTAATATACTTATAGGGGAATGGCAGGTCCAAAAAAAGATGGTGGGATGAAATGAAAGTCATCTGTGACGAGGATTGGAGGCAAATAAGCTTTTCATAGAAAGGAGTTGAAGGAGGGTAGGGAAGCCATTGAGCTGTAGTGGGACGATCATAGCTGAAAATAAAAATAGTATGCTTTTATTTTAAAAGAAAGATTAATTTTATGTGGATTTTACTAAATTACAAAACTAAGAATATATTATCGAATGTTACAAAATAAAAAAAGTCGATGAAAACGATCTTTTGATGCAAATCAATCCGAGATTACGACACTGGCTCTGTCAAAGAGTCTAAGGCTACGTTCAGAAACTGAATTGTCAATATTGACAACATTGGACGATAATATATTACAAAAAATAATCTAAATATTAATTGAAATAAACATAAAACTTTTCTATTTGATAAAAGTTTCAATAGTAGATTCATTAGTGCTTTGTTAAAGATCAAAATATTTTTTTACTTAAAGTTAATTTTGCTGAGTTGGCTTGTGCGTCGCGCCGTCAGTCTGCCGTAACGTGGCGGCGCTGCGCTCGTGTGTGTGCTGCAGGAGTGGCTCAGTGGCTTGAACTGTCATTGTTCATGTAGTTTTCTGTGATAAGAATTACTGTGAAATTATAGTTTAGCGAACTAATTTACACAATCACGATGTCCGCCTCGGGTGAATTCGGTAATCCTTTACGCAAGTTTAAGCTGGTTTTCCTGGGGGAACAGAGCGGTGAGTAAGGGGAAAAAATCGCCCCTCCGTCGTACATTTTTAATATATAGTTTTGAATTTACGATAAGTAAGTATAGATTCGTCTAGACTTTATCGAATTACTGACCTACATAGGCCCGGGGAGGTATAAGTTGTGGGTTTTATTTGCGAAAAAAGTGTGATTACTTTAGCCGTAACGTCTGCCGCGTCTGTGCCGAATTACGTTATGCTGAGATGTAGGTTACACTCTCTGGGTACATTGTGAGCGTTGAACCGCTGCTGTAGTATGTTCTCACGCGTATCTGCCGTTATCAATCATTGTATTTGATTAGAATCGTACCGTGGCAATTAGATGGTGTACTGACACGCAAATTTGTATTCTTTTTCAGTGGGGAAGACGTCGCTCATCACTAGGTTCATGTATGATAGCTTTGACAACACTTATCAGGTGAGTAAGTTCCCATGACAGTTGTAATACCAGACTGCTACTGTGCTTCAAAGAGTCATAGGATTATGGCAATGTCCAGTTATAAATTACATCACTGGTTAGTCATTGAACCTAATGAATATGTATGTTAGAGAATAATGTTGTATCTGCATAACACCTGAGCATGGTAATGCTCATAATTTTTGCTCTGAATGAGAAGTGCAATGAAAGTGACTGAGTTTAAAACTGAAAGTATTCTTATTTGATAACATCAAAATAAAATAACTGCCTGATAGGGTGTGCTATGATGAAATTCAATTAGGAATTTTGTCATGCTAATAAGATTAGGTGATTTTTAGTGACACATTCACTGACACCAATTATGTGTACACATCAGTGTGTTATTTGACCTTTTGTGACCTATAGTTTTATTGAGTTGCTTTCATAAAATAACTGTAAATACATATTCTCTTGCTGCCCCTACCTGTGTTACCATACAAATTTATTTTTTATGGTAAATTAGTCACAGCAATTGGAAACTTAACAGTTTTATTTCTTATTTATCTGTTTTTGCAATTACTTATTTCTGTACAATATGTTGCATATTCTGAAGATAAAATTAATAATGAATGTTATCAAATCAAAAGATATACAACAATAAAGTTAATCATATCAGTATAAAAATGCAATATTTGTGAAACTGCTTAGTTCAATGAAAATGTAAAAAGAAAGAAAAAACAATCTCTATTTTGAATCTATGCATATTTTATATTACTTACTTTATTTATTGAATTTAATTATAAATATAATAATAACTCATGTATTTGTATTAAATGTGGAGAAAATATTTGATAATATATAAATATTGAAATATAAATTCATAATGAGCACATATTTTGTGAAACTGAAAACAATAGGAAGGAAATCTATTTTTAAAACCTTTTGCTTATCTTTGTTATAGGTACAATTCACTGAATATTTATAATTTAAATATTTATATTTTGTGTAATAGTAATATGTTATTGATGTGCTCTAAATAAATGTTTGGCTATCCACAGAAGCCTGTAGGTAATTTGGTTTCACTACAAACATCAATTAAGAAGCAGGTTATCATTAATAGTATTTTAATATACACCATACTTACAATGTTGTAAAGTTGCAATTCTTATATCAGTACATCTTTCAACTTTATCAATCACTAGCTTCTGCCCGCGACTTCGTACGCGCAATCCCATTTCCCCCCCGTTACCGTTCGTGATTTTCGGTAAAAGTAAAAAAAAAAAAATTAGATAAAAAGTATCCTATGTCCGTCTCCTGGTTCTAAGCTACCTCCCTACCAATTTTCATCCAAATTGATTTAGTCGTTCTTAAGTTATAAATAGTGTAACTAACACGACTTTCTTTTATATATATAGATTATGAATTAATTTGATGTTTTTATTAATAAATACCTATACAAGTTGTTCTATGCCACATTTGTGTTCAGAAATATCTAAAACAAAGTTTTAAATTGAGTTTCAACTTTGTTCTTTTTACTTAACTCGTCGAGTACCGGTTTTATAGACACAATTAAAGAACAATAGGTCGCGGTCACCGGTGACCGCTCGGTGTTTGACAGATTAAATAAGTAATTTATGCTTACAACCTGTTTGTAAAGATATAAATATGATGACCTGATGTCAAAAAACATTCAAACAATAAAAAAATCTAAATCAATGAGATTTTAAATACAAAAGCATCCTTACTTCTTTGAAGTAAGTCTCAAAAGGTACTGAAGATTAGCTCTTAACATTGAATCAGTATTTCTCTTCTATATTAGACATAAAAAATCGAATTTATCCCATTACAATACATATTTGGCTCAGAAATAGATTTCGTCTGGACTAGTAATTTTAATTCAGATTTAGTAATTTTGGATATGATTGACATAATAATAAGATCTCTTAAAGAAAATTTTCATATCAATAGCTGAAGGATACAGATATAATTATATTTATAGCTAGCAACTGTTGTTGGTCTGTAATCATAGGATTTAATGGTTATTTAGTGTCCATTATAAAACTAATATCTGTGTGATAAGAAAACTTTTTGTTTGTTAATATTATAGCAAGTATTAAAACTGCTGCTATTGTTTTATTTATCTGTGGTAGATTGAAGTTGAACTTCTTGAACAGACTATACGTTTGGGATCAAAAGTATAAAACTATTGTAAAAACTATTATAAAAAAAAAGTATAAAGCAATTTTTTTTTCTTTCTTCAGAAATCTGAGCAGTGTATTTTTTCCAAGTGTCAAAAATAAAGCCAGAGCTCACTATTAACATTCAGACATTTAAGAACAATGTGGTAAATTCAGGTTTAAACTGTGCACTAGGTTTTAAAAACTAGTTAATTCAAATGTCGTAATTACAAATTCTGTTACTGAATTAAATTGTTTAAATAACAGCTATTTAAATGAGAGATTACCACTATTATGGAATTTACTTACATAAACAATGCATTATGTAATACATTATTCTCTTTGAACTTTTATTCTTAGCACATTTTTGTATGAGACGGCAATGTTCGTTTTTGTTTAAAAAATAAAAACTCGTTTTTGTATGTATGTATGTATATCTTTTATTGTATCACATAAAGATTAAAGATACTAATATGTACAAAATTAATCATTTTATAGAACAAAACAATTTCTATTTTACTTTAAACTGTCAAACACCAAGCGGTCACCGGTGACCGCGACCTATTGTTCTTTAATTGTGTCTATAAAACCGGTACTCGACGAGTTAAAGCAGCATTCAATAATCAATTTTTTAAACTGTCAAACACCTAAGCGGTCACCGGTGACCGCGACCTATTGTTCTTTAATTGTGTCTATAAAACCGGTACTCGACGAGTTAAATTTAGGGTTGATTGGGTCTATTTTTTTTATTTCAATTTAATACAACAAGTGTGTACAGGTAACGTAACGTAACACCTTGGGCATTGTCTCCCAGTCAACCTATAAGTAGTGCAGAGATGAATGTGATTAAGTAACCTTTAATATAAACAAGAAATTAGATATTATTTTTATAAAGGTCAACTATTGTGAGTAGTAGTGAAGTAATTCGATTGCTCACAAAAAGGAAGTTTTTACTTTAACCTTGTCTAATAGGTATTAAGTACAACTTGAAATAACTTATTGTTTGCATACAAATGTAAGGTAATCGCATAAGGACGCCTTTTATCCCATGAAGGGTTCAAGAAAACCATTAAATGCCTTCTACTAACGTGGTTTTTAACTTTGTTGTGTTACAATGAGGTCACAAATTCATTAATGAAATTGTACAGCAGTTGGTGTTTCTAATTTACAACTAAAAGGCGTGACTGTGATCTAATTCTGGATCTAATTCTAGACTATAATCCCATTAACATTGTTTTCAGTTTCTGACGTATTATTCTAGAGAGATTTCGTATGCGCACCTGCGACCTCTTGATATTTCACTGAATATTTATAAATACACAAATGTGTTTGTCAAATAAAAACATTATGAACGCAATCGATAATCTGTATCAGTAATACAGGTCTGATATAGTGACAGTATATGTTATCTGTATTGTATTTTATCTGTAACATATAAGTGTAATTAAATTCTAGTTGTATGTCCGTATCGTGGGTAGTAACCTAATAGAGGACAAACACCATACAAGAATATGTCCTGATTCCTATTAAGATTGTTATGATTAAGAAACTAGGTACGTAGAAATGATCGGAGCTTGATTAGAAAATGTTTTAAGAGTCGAATGTTTACTAAAATCCACATTGCTTCCTTTAGTTTAAACTAGCGACCTGCCCCGGCTTCACTCGCGTGGAATATGCATGTATACATATAAAACTTCATTAAGAATCACTCTATCTTTAAAAAAAAAACCGCATCAAAATCCGTTGCGTAGTTTTAAAGATCTAAGCATACATAGGGACAGACAAACAAACAAACAAATATATTTATTTCCATTTTGTTCACATATACTTAATCTAAGCTTATTATTTCGAGGGGTACTGGGATGCCGTCTCCTCCTTTTGCGAAGCAGTCATGCTAGCTAAGGAGGAGGCGGGACGCGTGAGGCAGCGAAGCGCTGCCTCCTCGCAACCCAGCCATCGCGAAGGACACACCGGGCGTCGGGGATCGCGGGACGATCTCCGGCCACCGTAAGCGCGGGACTGCGGACGGCGAGCATGGGTGGCTCCACGTCCGACCAGAAACAGACGCAAGCGTACGGCGCGTAGCGTTCCGCGCGCGCCTCAAAGAGCCATCAGACCACCACAGATGGGGCCCAATAGGGCCGATGCCGATTCGGAGTCGCGGAGAACCTAACGGGTAACCGGGGCTCCGGCTCGACGTGCAGGAGAAGGAACGGGGTGGTTTTTAGTCAGTAAGAGTCTGACACTCCCTTCCGCCTCACCCAGGCGGGAGCAGTCATTCGATGATTTTCCCCCCTTAAAAAAAAGCTTATTATTTAACTATTCTAGGTAGGTTACTTAGGTAGGTCCTTCAGACAGACGGCGGTTAGCGACTTTGTTTTATACTATGTAGTGATGTATTATTATTACGAATGAATATTTTCCCTGGTTTTGTGAGGCCTAAATCATCCAATGATTTCCCCTGGCTTAGGTGAGGAGAGAGAGACTGTCAGACTCTTACTAACTCAAAAATCACCCCGTTCCTATTCGTGCTTCGAGCCGGAGTCCCGGTAACCCGTTAGGCCGTCCGGCCGGAAGGTATCTGTCTCGCTATTTTAACAATGGTGGTTAGTTTAGATTTTAGATTGAATTTTGGAAAAAGGTTAATAAGATTGGAAGTTCCGTTAAACAAAAAGTTCAGGTTAAATCAGGTTTTCATCATCATCATCATAAATGCCCACTGCTGAGCAAACCTTCTTCTCACACGGAGAAGGTTGAGCATTAATCACCACGCTTGCTCAATGCCGGTTGGCGATTACAAACTTATAATTAAAAATTGTAAATCCAGGTTGCCTCACGATGTTTTCCTTCACCGTTTGTCAGTGGTATCTAGAGTATCTTAGAAAGTACATATAACTCGGAAAAATTCACATTGGTACTTGCCGTTGGTAGGTTTCAAACCCGCACCCTCATGCATGAGAAGCGGGCGTCCCGAGTACATCTCTATTTCCTAGTTTATTATCAAAATGATTCAATAAACTAGCAATTTTTTTAAAATCGAAATGCTGATTTAAAGGTTTGTATGTTCCACCAAACAAACAAATACTTTAGCTATATAGTGTTAGGTTTATTTAAACGTGAACAATAATCACACAAATAAATAAGCTGAAACTGTTTGTAAAGTTGTATTTCTAATTCTATTTGCTTGCTAGGTTAACAATTCGATATCACGAAATCGCAACTGTCGAAATTGGGCTAAAAGATTTCACTTAAATTGAAGATTTTTGCCTGTTTATTTTTAATGTCTGAAATACATTGAATCGAAATATCAAATGACTAAAAGAAATATCGAGACACAATGAAAAAAACATTACAGCCTGCAAAGAGGTACCTAATCATTAGAATTAAAAATGTGTGAGTTCGAAAGACAGATGTTGCAGGTATTTACTAGGGTACATTTTAATTTGATTTATTTTCCAATTTTTTAGGCAATGTGTATAGTCTTCTTTTATTACAGTTTTTTCGGCAGTTTTTACGACTACCAGTAAAAGTTGTCTCGATTCAACCATGCGTTTAATATGTTTACGACCGACTACTCAAACTCCAGACAATTTGAAATAGCTGTTATTTTTTCATCTTGCCGCGGCCTTACGCTTCTATAGGTAGTCCAGCCGGTCTAGCTAATTATGATCTTTTGTCGTTAATGTTGTTTGAGAATACTACAATCACCTAATGTAACTCAAAGACTAGAAATGATAAAAAAAATGTCGGAAGAATTTAATTAATCGTTCTTTTTCAAATTAGATTATAAAATAATTATATTAGATCGTAAGTTATATCGTTCATAGGAAATAATAGTTGTGGCAATCGAGAATAAAAACGTCCTAACATAATTCACGATACAGACATTTTGTTAAATAACAAATTGATGTTTATTGTACCGAAATAACTGCCAAATTTTAATTTCATGTGAATCTCTTGCGTGAGAGTAACCATAACAGTAGCTACTTTCACATTTTTCATAGACGATCTCGATCATATAATAATATTGATGCATTAATTCTCTATGGAACGTTGGTTGCTGTAGGAATAGGAATTTGAACAAACCGGGATGTAAGCTATTAGGAACACTTTTAATAGGTGTCGGGTAATTAGGCATCGTCAACGTCACTGGCCTAGATCTTGTAAGGTTTATGAGGCAGTAAAGTATTTTACGGCATGTTGAACTTTGAACTTGGGACACTGCTTAAAAGACAAAATACATTTATTTTTATGTAGATGTAAACTTTGTTTTGAAAGTTGGAATTAATAGGTAATAGATAGGTACCTTAAGGGTGACGAAGCAGAAGAAGGAACAAGGTCGTTTTAAGTCAGTAAAATTCGAACTCAAGGCGCGAAATCCCCTCAAAAAAAAAATGGTTGATTTACTGGTTTTGATTGAGACTATTTTCAACTGCTGGACATTTTGGCTAGGTGTCTTGATTTTTACTACCATTGACCCTGTCCTATCGACAAACACTAATTACTGTACTTACAAATGAAAGATTAGTTTGGCATTACAACTTATATAATTCTTTATTGCTATTGTTCGAAGGAAAGTGTTCCATAATGTGTGTTTTATTCGACAGGCAACTATTGGAATTGACTTCCTCTCGAAGACTATGTACTTGGAGGACCGTACGGTCCGGCTTCAGCTCTGGGACACCGCTGGACAGGAGCGGTTCCGATCTCTCATACCTTCCTACATCAGGGACTCCACTGTCGCCGTTGTCGTTTACGATATTACCAGTAAGTATTTACATCTTTCTTTATGCATGTTCGAATATTAATAACTCTTCGTTGGGGGTATTAATAATATGATGAGTTATTAATAATATAACATTTTTAATTAGCTTGGTTGGCCCATATTGCGTGCGGTTCCACCTTAATGTCTGAAATAATCACATTTCGAGAAATGCCATTTACCTTTATTCCTATTTTGTCTAAGTATTACATTTTTTGTTCCTCGAACGGCCATGATGCATAAAACATACAAATGATCAAATGCACTATGTCAAATGTAGGATGCATTCGTAGTAACACGTAAAATATTCAGTTCTTGTAACATCGATTGTGGTCTATTACAACTGAGATATTAGAATCTCCATTTAATAGTGGCTTCATTCTAACATGGAACTTCTCGATACTTCTTGCACTAGTCGTGATGTCAACTTCATGTAAAATAGACCTAACGTGTAACATTATGATCGATAGCGTTATTACTTATTACCTACCTTGTGACACAGACGGGAACCGGCCAGTCCATTAATAATGTACCTGGAAAAACAGACATCAATATTTCACAAGGAATCTTCATAGGTTGCGCTGTTGGCGTTTGCCATCGATCTGCGAAAAACCTACCAATACTTGCTTGGTATAGAATGCTGATTGCCAGACCTTCGGAGAATTTATTATCAGTTCTAGAAAGCATTGAAAGTACATACATATATTCATACCGACGCTAGATATACTTAGTTCTTAAGACCTTATGGTGGTTTTATGAGAGATGTGCTTCCATTCTTGTTAAGGACATTTTTATTTGTAAACGTTTTTTGTATGAATTTTTTTGTAACAAGATATTTTATTTATCTAGTTAATCCTCTAACACTTTGGAAGTTTTAAAAGAAATTGGATACAGAACTTTGTTCTCGAAAAGTCCAAGTACATAAAATATTGCTCGCGTCCAACTATGTTGCGCGAATTGAATCCCGAGGTAACGATATCTTAAACCCTCGAGCCTCGCTCACATCTGGATAAAAAATAACTCCATTATATTCTGCGGATGGCACACAAAGTAATTGGTATAAATTATTGTTCTGTAGTAATAATGCATTTTCTTTTTTGTTAAGTCTGGCTTGTAAAAGATTTATTTTGAGCTTATAAGTTGCTTTTTCGAAATTTGGTCTTTGCTTTTATTACTTACCTTTTACCTTTACTTATTCTTTTCACAAACCATGTTGAATTAGTCATTGAGTTTAAACAAACTACAGTTTTTTCAACTACATCTTTTCAACAATATCCATCGTCAGTTATTTGAGGACCAATACATTTGACCTCTATAATCTCAACGACACTACATACTTTGTAAGTTTTCCAGCTGTACATTTTAGCCTTTACACTATCCATAACGACTGTCATAAATGTCGACATCCGGGACGGACGGTTTAACGTGATCTCATCAAAAAGTCTCGGGTTAGTGTCGAAGTATCGACGTGACGATGAGATGGGCATAGCAACTGATGATGGATATCTCTAGTTACTTGGTGGATAGACTTAACTGAAATCTAAAAGTGATTGTAGCTCCATGTTGCTAAGTTTTTGCGGCCATCATCCATATGACATTTTATAAACGTACAGACATAAGGACCACGTCACCTGACATTGACATTGAGCATATATTTCAAACCGCAACATCTCGATCGCCAGTGCATATTGCGTCCTTTACTCTGATAGTTTTTCAGCGTGTTTCATAAAACGTTTTGAGCAACCGGGAAATGAAAAGACGTGGTTACAGTAGTGTTGCACGTAGCGTGGTTCTGAAAGGGCGAAAGTGGGCCAATGGCCCGCCGGTCATCGCGCCTCAGGTTACAATTTACGCGCGATCGTATATCAGGTTTAGTGTCGTGAGCTGAGCTAGACGCTCCTCATCATTTTATTTGTCAGGGTAAATAACAGGGTCTCCAATACATATATTTTAGGTATCTATATTTTTTGCCATTTACTCCGGACTTTTTAGCCAAGCCTGATCGTGTCTGGGGAGCTTTGATGGCGCAACGTCATCTTTCAGACTGCTACGATATGCTTCTACTTCTATCTGCTCAACAAAAACATACTTATTGAACTGTACTGATCTTTAGATTTCAGTGCGCTCGCAAAACAATTTGAAATCTTTAATTAAATCAGTCGGTCACAAGTTCTCCGAACAAATATAGACTTTATACTGAGGGGTGATATTTGGTTAGGGGATGTGTGTCGCCTGTGACAAATATTTGTTCGATGTCCGCCCTCCCACGAACCTTGGCCTAGCCTTAAAGTTTTATGCCTAAGCACTAGATATAAAAGCTTACGTTCTTGAACAAGAATTAGGTAGTTCTAAACCAATTTTATGTCACCTTATCCATACCAACTGCATTTTTTTCTGTCTATGTGTTAATAATTATACCTTTGATTTAATATCCATTAAAATTCAATCAGAAGCAACCTTGAAAAGAAAAAAGTTTCACTAAAATGATGAAAAATTTGACAATCGTAATGTTGACACACATAATATTACGTAGTTTTCATCATAGTAGTTGTTGATCGTACCATGTTAGGCCGTCTCGATATCGATTGGAGAATTACAACTGATGAGTGGCACAATTTTAGTTTCATATTCGTTCAAGGTTTGCCTTCGGAATATTCATAATTGTATTTATTTCCTTAATTAACGCCGTTGTAGATAGAAGTGGTAGGCGCTTTGATTATTATCTATTATATCCATGTTTTTATGACAATCCCGTTACTACTTATACGGTAAAGTCTCTCTTGCTTTGGTCCAGGTGACTCCATAGATTTGGAATCTTTGATGATTATGTCACCATGACCATCTTCCCGCGGTTGTCATTCAGCCTTCAGCGTACTCTGACCTGACCAACTTTTTAAATTGTTATATACCAGCACCTGCCGATCGAGGAGATCCTTCTATGTAGAGGAGACCCATCGTCCAACTGGGGACTGTCATGTACCGTTGATGATCTGAGTTATTTAACAGCTACTCTATGCAATAAACGTGACCTGATTCAAGTAGTTTCAGTAAGAATATGTGGTAATTTTTGTGAGTTCTTTAGACCGATATTCAGGCGTTTAAAAAATACATTCGATTCGGTCTACGCTAGACGCTTTGTCGACCTCAACCTAGTTCGTAATTTAACAACCTGAATCGTACTCATCATGCACGTGGAATTATTGTTAGATGTTTCTCATATAATTTAAAATAACATCATGCCTTTTATTCTCCGAAAACTAGTCAACTTTGAGACTCTTACTTGGAATCCGTCAATCACGCTTGCGATCCGTCGCCTGTCTCTAGTCTTTCCTAAATACCCAAATAATTATGATAATTGTACAATGTAGGATATCGAAATTGTCCACTTAATGTAGTCGTTTCCAATTCAAACGAGACAGGCAAGATGTTTGTAAATATAAAACGACTTCGGAGAAGACAGTAGTAAGTTGGTTTGATTTAATACCTACCTACTCTCAAGGTTATAACAATTAAATTATTATTTACCTCCGGATTCCGGACTACTCTATTCATATACATGGAAATATTACTCATAAATTCTATTTCATTGTCTTAGTCATACAAGGTTGCGTTGTTACAAAAATTATCTTTCCTTATCACATTGTATTTGAAGCACTTAATAACAAAAATATTAGCTTGACCGCGTAGCCTGTTGGAATCGAATATTGTGAGGTTGGCGTAATATTCCTTCTTTCTGTCTCCCCCAATCAACCGTTTTTTCTATTTCATTATCATTTTATAGCGACCAACCAGCAGCTTTTTCTGATAAAACAATCTCGAAATCTTCTGTTAAGTGCGGAGATCATGGCAAATCCTATTAAATGGATAACACTGTCTTCTCCGACGTCTGGATATGAATGTTGTGGACGACGTAATGGATGTCACTGCCCAAAGCGCGTCTCGAGCATACGGCGCGTCGCGTTCCGCGCTCGACTCAGAGCCATCAGACCACCACGGATGGGGCCCAATAGGGCTGATGCCGATACGGAGCCGCGGAGGATTTAACGGGTTTCCGGGACTCCGGCTCGAAGTGCAGTAGTAGGAACGGGGTGGTTTATAGTCAGTAAGAGTCTGACATTCCCTCCAGCCTCACCCAAGCGGGAGCAGTCATTCGATGAAAAAGTCGTCGTTTTCTTCCTGTCCATTGTAAATGAACAAATCGTATATGTATAAATTACTTTGAATGTTTAGCAAGGATTCTGGGACGATAAAATAGCTAATTGATCGTAAAGCTACTGTAAACGATAAAGAAAGAAATTATGCTTGACGAACTCTCGCATGTGAACAAGTGGGCCGAGTCGTAGTTCAACGACTTAACTGTATCTGTTCGTTGCTTGAGAGATTCATATTCATATAGACAGATAAGTATAATTACTAGGAAGCATAAATGTATAAAGAACAGATTTGATCCTCGGCCTTATCCAGGTTTCAATAATGTTGTGTAAAGGTATTTAAATTTCCAAGTTTGGTTGATAAAATGTAAAGAGTAAGAAAAAAACAAACTTGCTTAATTACATTCATAATGCATGTAGTATTTGCAGTATATTATTAGTGAAAGAGAATATTTTCCCTATAACTATACGACCTATTTTTCAAACGAAAGGCGATACATAAATGTGTGTTGGGCGTTTGTTATACCTTATTTAAACTCGAATACATATTAGTTACATCGTAAAGATATTGTTTAATTGATTTAATAAGGTAACGAGCAGTGGAAGACGGTGTTTTGATAGACAAATTGCCATGTAATTAATGATGACGGTGCAAAGATAGGTTGATGACATCACCTAGCGCGGACATCAAGTAGAGACGCGTATAAAGTCCGAATAGTTCGTTTATATGACGAGAGACGTTAAGTTAAGGTAAAATATAGACATGTACATGGTAGATGGTAGGTCAGGGATGTCATCTTTCTTGTGTCCTAAGACGTAGGTGGATCTTACTACTGTTATTTGAGTGGTATACGAATAAACATGCAACCTTGTAGTCACACATCCAACCTGTTCTTGGGTCTTGTGCGGCGACTTCCCACCCACATCTCTTGAGCTATCGGGTAATATTATGTAACCAATCCATTTATAAAATCACAGCGAACTAAAATACAACCTGTACAATCAGATCACTTTTTTGTGGAATTGGATTGATGTATTTGTATTGATGACAAGGTATTTCAGACTTCAACGACAATGCCAAACATGCCGTTAATAAAATATAAAGAATAACCCAAAATATTGTCTCCAACAGATGCAAACTCATTCCACCAGACGTCTAAATGGATCGACGACGTTCGCACGGAGCGTGGGTCTGATGTGATCATCATGCTGGTTGGCAACAAGACTGACTTGTCGGACAAGCGGCAGGTGTCCACCGAGGACGGGGACAGGAAGGCCAAGGAGCTCAACGTTATGTTCATAGAGACCAGCGCTAAAGCAGGATACAATGTTAAACAGGTGAGAAAAGAACCTATATATATACATAACGCTGTGGGTGGCTTAACGGGTTACCAGGGGTCCAGTTAGTGTCTGACAGGACAGGACAGGTGGGAGGAGCCAATGGACGAAATTACCCCCACTGCCTTATTCCATATATAAATAGGTAATGTAATTTAGTAACTATTATTTTTCTTGTGAAATGAAATGAAAAAGTGTTTTATTCGGCATATGGCATGAATACCAGGAACAAATAAAAGAGAATATACACTTTGATAAAATAACAATATAAAGGTTTAGAACAAGAGAGAGAGAGAGAGAAAAAAGGATAAAAAGCTAAATAATAAAAGTAAAACTAGGTAATAAAGGTGCAGACATGCCCAAGCCGAATGGGTCGCCAACTCAGCAAAAAGCACCCAACACTGATTTTCAGTGACAGTGACACTTGTGACAATTGCCTTATATGCTTGAAAGATGTTTTTACTGTGTGCCCATAAATAATACATTTATTACCTCTCTTTAAATAAATATGTAAAATATTATCGTCCAATGCAAAGCACGTGAGTAGGTACATAGGTACCTGCACCCGTATTTCCACCTACTACGTTTGACTGGATTTACTAGTGTTACTATTATAGACGCGGATGACATAACGGGTTGCCGGGGCTCCGGATCGAAGTGCAGGAGTAGTAACGGGGTGGTTTTTAGTCAGTAAGACTCACCCGGACGAGAGAAGTCATTGGATGATTTTCCCCCCTCAAAAAAAAAGTGTTACTATTATCCATCCAGAAAAGATATGTTTGTCCTTCCGCCTGGTAACTGCTCCAGGTTTTTATTGCACATATTACCGACAATATGTACACAACTGCACTAGTCCAGTGAAAACTATGTTGTTATCTAGTAAAAACTTTTAAATCAAATGACCGAATGCTTTCGAAATCAATGTAGATTGTAGACAATTACGTACAAAAGTGTGTACTTACCAAGTAATGGGGGTGCACGTCTGGCTGGTGACGTCACGGATCGATGAAGGTCATTCATGTCGGATTGTCAGCCCTACTGGACGAGAGATACTATGCAAACAACGTTGATATACGAAAATAAACTTTAAAGCTCCAGAATGTAGGTAAAATTCCCGTGGTATAAATTCCAAGATAGTAGGTACAACTTTGAATAAAGCAACATTACCATGGTACAATCTGAAATTATCCTTGATACCTTTGTGCAAAACTATATAAATATGTGAATTAAAATGTTTCAGTTGTTCCGGCGGGTGGCGGCCGCGCTGCCTGGCATGGACTCTGCGGAGAACAAGCCTCCGGAAGACAGTATCCTTTACCAAATATCATATACCTTGACCTTGTGTACATACGGGCCGGACAGAAATACCGACCGTGCGGCATGCATTGGTGACTTGTTGCATGCGAACCTGGGGTCCAAAGTACCATGTTTTGAACGGTCTGATCCAATAACACACCGTTGTATTAACTTGGCAGTTCGATGAGAATACACACAACTACCCAGTGCCACGATTACATAACAAATGGAGACCAAACAAACGTCATTTGAAACTCAATGTGATTGTTCCATTAAATCGAAATGCCAAGTTGTTCAACGTAAAAAAGAACAAGTCATGAAAGAACTAATGTTTTTTAAATCAAGAGTCCACGCTCGTTCATACACGCACGTATATATGAAGTATTTAAGTAATATATTTAGTGTTTACACGGCCCATGATTGTGCTAGAATATGTTTTCGTTCCGTTAGAACAGGACATTGGCGGATTATTGAAACGGTGTTCATTGTTATATTGTGTGGAATCAGCTGCGTTTTCATTCGTACAGTTGTTTTTTGCATATCCATTGTCTGCTTATTTAATTTGATGGTGGAAGTAATGTTGAATTAATTCTATAACTTAGCTTTTAACTTTAAACAAATGACTCGTGTTACTTCGTTACTGCTCAATTGTTTGTACAGAGACAGATAAATTTTGGAATCAAAACTTTCGCATTACAGATGTCACTTCATGTCAGGCAAAACATTTTAAGGCTACAATCTTGTTCACATAATTATGACCCCCAGCATGGCTTGAAACTAGTCGGGTAACCTCATCAAGCAGTTGTCATGGTCAATTTACGAGCTATTCTCGAAATGGTTTACATTGTTATGTTATTATACATAATTGATTATTATATGCGTAGCTGGTCCCACACGTAATGAATAGTTCCCGGGTCAAGTGACGTGTTCCGGCCGAATCTGTGTTACGGTGGTGGTTATAACAGTCTAACGTCTGTGTTGTAAGTAAACTTAACGTTACTAATACTCTTGTCTATATACTTGTACATCACCCATTTGATACCATCATCGCCCGGTCCGACCACATATTATTGCGCAGTTTACAAAACTCTTGGGTGACATTTTTGCTTCATTGATTGTTCACGGTAATCAAAAATGTTCGCGAATAACTTTTTACGTATGGGAAACCCTTGTAAGAATTTGGTTCAGAAGTTTTTAAGTGTTTTCGAATACATAGATTTTACAGATGCATTAGGATGAGTATTAATCATAATTATTGAGAATTCAATAAACATAAATAATGGTGCAATAGTAAACTAGGTGTATACCTTTTTATTCAAAAGTAAAGATAACAAATATTGCTTAGTCTTTGTAAGCTACGTAATCTGTGGTCCCATACATAGCTTGTTCACGAGACAAGTGAATAGACGCATTATATTTTATATTTATTTTATGTAAAAACTATATATTTATATTAATACTAATAACATCGCTTTATAATCATGCTTTGTTCGTAACAATCAAATGTGTAGATGGCAACATTATTTAACATCGCAGCCAACTCAATATACATATTTGTAATTTTATATTTGAAATGGCATATACAGTTAACACCTAGTTATTATTATTATGGTATTTAATTTTTAATTCTATTTAATATGGTGTGAACACATGCAACAAGTACTTATTCCAAATGATCACGTTTGATGGCGTATCTATAGAGCGTTCATACAAATAATGAAACTGATGTCGCAATCAAATCAAGGCAATTGCCAAAATAAAGTTGCCGCCTGTACATTGTACGAGCTTATATTAGTTCAATCGATCACTGCTTGATATATATTATTTGTTGTTGCTATTTTATTATCATTATTGGCGCTTTTAAAAAAAACATTAGTTTCAATAGAAACCGCTTGACGAATGAATGCATGGCCGACAGGCAGTTGGGTGTGGATTTACTTATTTACAGTAACTATGAACTAACTTTATTTCTAAAAAGAAACTGCATTCTTTATAAAACTATTTTCGTACGAGTAAGTTGTTTTGAGTTCAATGCTCTATTGTAGTTTCGAGGTCTATCCAAGCTCTCGAAAGTCTGGGTATTACTGTGTACTGGGTAGGCTAGACGACTACAGAGCTTGAAACGAAACAATGTTCTTGACTGTCGGCAAACTTAAGGGGAAATATTAGTTCTTAATGATTCACGTTATACACCCGTAGGTAATAGTACCTTTTGAATAGGTTTGAATAGTAGGTATAGACCTACTATTCAAACCTCACTACATTTACCCGCGAAGTAAGGAACATTTTAGAAAGGACCCTTGATAGTAAGCATTGGCAATCCTATTCGAATTTATAATGACAGAATAAAGAATGGAGATCCGAATTTATAAAATATAGCCTAACTAGTACTTATACAAAAAAAATCGTTTTCATGTTCTATTGAACGCAGCCTAATCAAAATTTAGGAAGACAGGTAATTATACGATACAAATTCCAGTTGAAAATGAAATGAATATTACACAACTAAACTAATTTTCCCCAGTTTGCCGACTTGCTCTTGTTTCCGACTGTATCCTAGTACGATTTTATTTTCCTTAATGTGTTTGTACAGTGCACGAGGTGATTCTGAGGCAAGCGCCCGGAGACAACAAGGAGCCAGACAGCGGGTGCGCGTGCTAGTGCCTCGCGCCGCCACGCTCGCGCCCCACCGACACGCATGCGCCCTATATACGCACTTGAACATAACTTCTACTCATACCGAAATACTTGCAATCAATTCAAGAATCAAAACGGCCTGATTCTGTACCACTAAAAGTTAAATCAATTTCTATATTTCTATTTGGGTGCATTAGGGCGTAGTGTAGAGGTCGCAAGGGCTAGCGACGGAGCGTTTGTACCGATCTGATACGTGCTAGCGTGCTTTTGTGTGTTTGTCTACAGTGATATTAGATGTTAATGTACATTCAACTAGTTTTCAAATTATAAACGATTAAGGCATAATATTACATGTGACTGCAAACTGTTTTGTATAGGCCTTCGTTCATAGAGTGTCCTAAATCTTGCAAGGCCATATTGTGTGAGGGTCGGGTTGCGTCGACCCCGACAGTTTATTAATTATTTAGCAATTGCAGCAAAGCTTCTTGTGCATTGACGCTCGTTAGTGCCATATTTGACGTGTACGTTCCTGTAAAAGTTGGGGGTGCAACCCGCTCTGTGTAAGAATTGCTACTATTTAATTGAACGCTGCCCCACAAGTGAAGCTAAGGTCTCGTCACCTCGGCACAATGTGGGTCAGCGTTGCTTTATGAATCAAAGGTCTATGTAAAACAGCGACGTGCTACTTTGACAACGCATTTACACAAAAGCACTATGTATTAGCCGCACTAGGAACATGAGTACTTATGTGGGAATTTATTTAATCACGCTCTGCGATCCGAGAAGTAGCGAGGCGTTGACATCAACCTGCGACCGTCATTGGATTGCAATGTTGGTGCGATAAGAAACTTTCGTTATCATTGCCTTACTCAAGCAATAACAATGATTATTATAAAGTATACGTAGGCACAGAATGAAATTCCCATATTATTTTATCCCCTTGATAACATGATTATATAAATATATTCTAAGCAAGTTTTATATTTAAGTTCGTATGAGACTGAGACTGCATGCACGCCTTTACGTCACTATAACGCTTATGATAGTTTGGGTAGCAAGCAGGACTTCTTATGCGATACTGAACTGACAAGAATATTGTTACTAAGAGAGAATTAAAGTGTTTATTGCGATATATCGGGCGGTTGTTGTCGTAGCGCTAATAGAACAAATGTCACATTAAGTTAATAAATCTGATAATATTAATTCAAATTGTCTTATCTCCAAGATGTTCAATTTAATAAATATCGGTAATAAAATGAAATCTATAGTTGTATCCATTAATTTAAAATTGGCTAGCTATTTGAGAAGGTCAACCATGACCAAGACAACCCACTTATGGTCATGTATTTTACCACCCGGTAAATATATTTGCAATTTAACATCTTAGCAGCAAACTTTGAATGAGGATTAGCATTGATAAATTTTCGTAACGTATATCTAGGGCGTTAGCCTACCAGGAATCATCATCAAACCTAACCTGGTCCAAAAATCCTCTTTTCTGAAATTTTGGAACATTACATTCTGTTTACTGTCAACTGTCGGAACGCAAATCTACGCGAGAAACATTTTTTTTCTATTGCGTCACATTCATCGGACAGAGAAAAGGTTAAACAATAATAAACTGTACCAATTAGAAAATAAGTTACAAGTTATATTGCTCTTGGTGACACGACTATTAGTGTTACGATAGCGCTTCTATTTAATTTATTAATGTAGGAGCTACTCTATATTTTGTACATAGCATGGGACTGCGAGACTCTCCTTTCTTTCCTCTTACAAATATCACGGTTCGAAAATCTCTATACATTTAACATTAAAGACTAAAGATAAATAGAATAAAAACTAAAGTGTTTTGTGTCACGTAACCCATTTATTCCATAAAGATTCTGGCCGCCATACTACTAAGACCTCATTGGCCGAGTGGTCGCAAGTGCTGCCAGGCAAGGGTTCTCAGGTTCGATTCCCGGGTCGGGCAAAGTATTACTGGGTTTTTAAAAGAAAACTCAGTAGTAGCACGAAGTCTGGAATCATGCCCAGTATATGGCAATAGGCTCACCTTCTATTACATAGGACTCGTAACATAAAGAGTGAAAAGTGGGTGTTACATTGTACAGTGGCATTGAGTGCCGTAATGTGCACCTCTGCCTACCCCTTCGGGGATAAAAAGCGTGATGTCTGGAAACTTCTTAATATGTATCAAATATTAAAATAATTATAATGATGTATAAGTGGCTCAATATAATCGCCAGTCAAAGGCAGCTGTGTGTAAAGACAGGGAGTCCCGCGGTCCCAGTACATTAGTATTATTTATTTACCTAGTGCTTTAAGTGCATAAATTTTTAATTCTTATATATAAAACGATTTTAGTGAGATTTTTCACAGATAGCTTTCATTATTTCAATATTATACATAACAATGTTTTGTAAATTAAATATAATTTATCATTCCAATGCTTTGTTAGTGTCTTAATCAATACATATACAATAAATATTATAACGTTTGGCCTCATAAAGGATATTTTTTAAATTAATTAATGCTTATTTGTAATTATAAATTATTTTTATAATTTAAGTGCAATATTTTTTGTACTGATTTTTGATGGAAAATTAGATGATTGGACTGGGTACAACATACAATGAAGTTCTCAAACTAAAAATGACTCAATTGCAAAGCTCATAAGGTGTATAGTAATTCACCTAGTTAGTTTATACTGGTGATTATTTTTTACTAGCTTTTACCCGCGGCTTCGCTCGCGTCACAAAAGGATAAAAAGCTAATGTGACATATATCAATACACATAGCGCCATCTATACCAATACTTTTGTTTTTCCTCGGGAATATCAAATTTTTCGGGATAAAAAGTACCCTATTATTTAATCCGGACTTCTAACTTTACGTCTGCAAAATTTCAAAGCAATTGGCTTAGTAGTTACGGCGTTAAAGTGGAACAAACAAACAAACAAACAAACTCACTTTGCGATTTATAATATAAGTAAGGATGGTATTTGTGTACCCAGTCAAACCATTCTAGTTTTATTTAGACCATATCCATTTATCCAATTCTTATGAACGATAGCAATAATGTCGCTGCCTCGACGTCGCATGTACGCACTCATTTAAAATATGTACTTATACTGTAGTACTGACCTATTTTTTTAATGGCGTATTCGTTTTGCGGGGTCCGTAGTAAAATTATAAAAGTTACTCTTTAAAATTTACTCCTAGTTGGATGATGATTTAGTTGTGCGAACCATCTTTTAACCTTAAAGACCTTTGCCAAACCCTTAAATAAAATGATGGCTTCAGGTTCGATTCCTGGGTCGGAAAGATCTCCCTGTATGTTTTTAAAGATGGCACGGACTTTGTATTTGCACGTAATAATGTAAGAAAATAAGGCCACCTTGTATAGTGATTAAACATGGACTTTCTAAGTTACTGCAAGGTTGGTGCGTGTAGCGGTTTCGATTCCCGCACGGAGCAACTCTGTGAAATCCAAGAATTGTTATTTCAGGTCTGGGTGTCATGTGTATGTCAAATTGTATGTTTGTAAATGCGCCCATGACACAGGAGAAAATCCTAGAGTGGGGTAACTTAAAAAAAAATACAAACTGGTGAACATTTTGGTGATACGTATGTTCCTTGGAGAATAAAAAGTTTCATTTTATCCTGCACGACAAAAGTCAATCTGACCTATAAATCTTTAACAAATAATAATAATTAAGATTCCTCTTTTCCTAAGTGAGTGCGTTCGTCGGCTGTCATTAATTTATTTTGAAATTGTAAATACCCATATCACGCTGGTTTATTTTGAATAAAATATTTAAAACACTATCCTTTGTATTTTATTTTTTTTACCATAATAGGATTCTTCATTAACTGAGGGGTTTGTGCCCGTAGCCCTTCCCATTTTGGCCGGTTTTTATTCTTTCAGAAAGGGTCTAACGCGAGGTCCAGTAAGGTGGTGTCCTCTACACATGAGTACACCATTATCAGGCAAATAAAAGAACCGAGAATTTTTTTAATTTTAACCAAGGAGATTGGGAAAATTGTGGTTGCACACGACTGCACGGTTGCCGCAGTGGCTGACAAATGACTGCCGCGCAACGTGGAGCGGTTTCGATTCCCGCGAAACAGCTTTTTGTGTATTCCTAGTTTCGGTGTCATGTGTATATGTTTGTACACGCATCTACGACCACGACACAAGAGAAATCCTTGTGTGGGGTAACGTTTATTTAATATGAAAAGATTGTCGAATTGTGAGATTCGGGTTCGACTCCTGGGTTTCATCAAAGTGTTACCCCATAAGTGATTTTCGGTTTTGAAAATTCTCAGTACGTAAACTGTGCACGATGTATGACAATAGGGTCGCCTACTGGCGTTAAGTAAAGTGAGCGTTACATTTCTTATGAGCCTGCGTTTTACTTCTTTTGCCTACATACTTTTTAGGACCATAAATAAATAATAATTCGGGCAATAAAAAAGTGGTGTAATAATATCTACCAATCAATTAGTTATTGTTGAAGTAAAACACCAGATAGAATATAGCTAGTATGTGGAGTATGATATCCTTGACTCGTGGCACAGCGGTGGACTTGCAGACGCAGTCTCCCATGGGCTCGGAGCAGGAGGGCAACGAGAGCGGCTGCGTCTGCTGAACGAGCCGCGCACCCCGCGCTACCCGCTCACCCGCACCGCTTCACGCACTAATATCATGTATCGATACACTATCGATGCGAAATATTTTATGTATTCTTTTTATTTCAATGTAAACATTACAAACCTACTGATGACAACTATTTCAGGCTTAACGTTATCAAGGTCTGTGTGATCTGCGACATGGATTTACTAAGGAAGAAGAAGAATGGATTTACTAACTAAGGATTCAAAATATTTTGTGATCTGGTCGAAACAGTGCAACATTACAATTAATCTTCATTTTTAGTACATTCATGTCGTCTTCAATTTTATTGTCTAATTTCGGAAGACGAACCTGTTGTCTTACTACGTTAATCCATTTCAAATAGTAAATGCTATATCACTGCAGAGAAGACTGGTAAAATGTTGTATACTTAGTTGTTTTTTCTAAAGTTTTGTATAATAATTTGGTTTTTAATGTGCATGCATCGGTTTCGTATTTGAGGTGGTCGTAGATAGATGTAGCGAATGGATGGCATATTATGTGTTTCATTATTGATTACAATAATATTTGGTCGCTGTAGAGATCATTTGAAGAGGAAACAATATTTCCTACGTATTTCAGAAGAGCATAAATTAAGTCCCTAGGAAACAGTGTGTAACTTGTACACAATGTCTACTACTGATCCCCGATTTTTTTGAAGATACCTAGGAAACACAATATAACCTAAAGACAATGATTCAAAAAAATATAAATTAAGACCGTTATTGGGGTAATAGTAAGACTCATTTTGCGGTGGCACTGATCATATTATTGTAATCAAAGAACCTATATAATTATGTAATATGCCGTCGTAAAGAGAAAAAATAGGGCCTGTTTCACGATGACGGATAATTTCATGTATTTTCCGTACAAAATGTGTCAAAGTATTTGTTATTGTAATGAAAGCAGGCGCTAATGGTTTTGGAGGGGGCTGGATGCATGGGGTGGTAGACTAGAATCGTCAATATTTTGTAAAGCAATGTTGAATGCTGTTGAATGGTAAAGTGCGACGGTGGGCTTTATACTTCTTTGTGTTTTAGCCCTGACGCCATTGGACTAGAGGCAATTTTTGAATATTCGGAACTCTGCAATATTTAGAACTTCTAGTCGGATATCTGGTCTCTTTTTTACGAAGACTTTAGATATTAACATCGTTGGTTGGAGCCTAATCCAGTCTATCAATCTTCATTGGATTTTAGACATTTTATCAAAGCAATAAAGTTTAAAATCCAATAAAGTTTGATAGAAACGGTTAGGTTGGTCACTGTAAATTCACCAATCACAATAAGTTCGGGATAGTTACAAAAATTGCAACAAGTTCATCTTCTTATTTGTATTGTACATAGTTTACTGTATTTGTTTATTTAAATGTGTTTAAACATTTTCTGTGACTTTTCGACGGGCAGTACATCATGCCATTTGATGCTAAATCACGCGCATTTGCAAACAGACGCTGCCAATTTTGTTGTATTACATTATAAAAAGTGAAGTATTGTACCTAAGACTATTACATACAGAATCAGCAATAAATATATCTTCAATGCATAATATTACTTACACAGATTTAAAATCCATGTGCGCTTACATAGTACTTAGATATTAATTTTGAGTATTTAAAATGAAATTCTTTGAGTTATTTTAATAAATAGTTCACTGATCATGCTCTATGTATGTCATAGTTATTATGTAAAGACTTAGATAATAAAACGTTATACATACGGTTTTGTTTTATATTATTAAGCACAACTTGTCTTGGGATCGTTTCAGTATTTTTATATCTGATTATAATAATTTATCGAACGATTGGTTGTGGTCGCATTTTAATTGACATTTATAGAAAAGAAATAAAAATCAGGTTTTACGTAATTTACTTAATCCACTGAGTGTGATATTACAATGATTTAAAAAGCCTCCACAAGAATCAAGTCATTAGTTCTATAATTTACAATTTTACGTACATTTCGTCGTTGCATAGTTGCTTTGGAATTATGATTTAATTATGGTAAAACTTAATATACAAATTATACACTGTACACGCGCAAAGACATTACTATCTAACTGGTTTGTTATTTGTTGTATCGAAGCTACAAAATAAGCGATTTACTATTGACTGCCGAATTGTTGTATGATGTTGTCATAATACAGCTGTGATTAAATTTCTAAAATCCTACCTGTCATGAAGTAACTGCTAGTGTTGTGTATTGTTCTTATTAAAATGTATTTGTAATGTTAATATTCGTGTCGTGTATCTATTGGTTACATTAGCTTCGGAATATCAGGAAAATAACATAATGTTGTGGTTCTTTAATTGGTTTTATATATTAATTAATTAATGAATAATATATTATACATAACATAAATTGTATGTAGTAAATATTTAAATCTATTCTTGTGTTTTGCTCACATTATTTTATCTAACTGGGTGGGTGGTTTGATTTGATGATCGCTACGTCATAATACTCAATATGGTGCTGTCATCATTATTATATGGACAGATTGGTACCTACATATGTCGTTACACGAGTGTTGACATTATAATTTACATATTAATGGTGTATATTACTTGAATACATTCTATGCTACTAATGTTCAATTGTGGAAGAACAATGGTGCGGAGGATACGATCACAGGTTTCTTGTTGACTTGACAATTTAGAGCTCAATTTTCTATTTCGTTTAGGTGTCGGTATGAATTAAACGAACATTTATTATTTATAAACGTTGCCTCACTAAATTAACTGCATTTCTAATATTTAATTAAAACGCAACCTTTATAAGTAATGATTGTTTCACAAACACTGTTTTACATAAGTAGGTATTTCGGCTTAAGCTAATAAGAAATGAATTTGTACTTTTATTAGACTCGATGATATCGCAATGTGGAATAAAATATGCTTTATTGCCGTTTAGAAGAACTTTTGTTTTGTAAAAAAAAGTTAACATTAGCATGATGTTCTAAATATTAAATGCGTTTTGATTAAAATAATATTTTGTGTCATTATTCCTTTTTTTTGTTACTCACCCGTTGTTACATGGAACGCAGTCAATGGATGAAGTGCCATTAATAAAACAATGTAAAAATTACCAGTAAATGTTTTATTAAACCAAAAATATACAAGTAGATAGAATTCATTTATATAATAGTAAAAAAACAATGTTAAAATGAATAAAAAATAGTAAATAAAAGACGAGCCGACTTACGGAGGATGTCGTCTGAACATCTAGTATTAAATCTTCGCATTCTCAATTTTCTGTGAACAAATACAATAATTAATAACCTGCACGGAAAAAATGCACGCAGGATATATTCCTATGGAAGCTATGGTCATGAAATTACTGAATATTGTATTTCCTGAAGGGTATAAACCTGGGAGTTTTCAACGCCCGAGTGAATAGGTTGCTTATGGAACGACGTGCTCCATCGTAGACCGCATCATCGCTTACCACCAGGCGAGATAGTGGTCAAACGTCGGCCTATCAAATATAAAAAAAAACTTAGTAAGTCCCTTTTAACAGCTGATTTTGACGTTATCAGTGTCGTCTTTCAGTTTCAGAAACCGTCTGTAGGTACTAAGTGTATTAAGGTACATCATTCTCCGGAATTAGTCTGGATTAGCATGGCCTCATTTTTAAAACCCTCAGAGAATGAGGCCCTGTGACGCCTGATGAGTCAGGCGTCAGCTGTTGAGGCGGTAATGGGCGTTATTCCTGGTTCTGGAACTGAGGTACCAAATTGGGTGCCTATGCGAAATGAAAGACTCAGGTAGTATACCCATGTATTTAGTTAGTTATTACCTAATATATGTAATGTAATATTATATTTACCTTTATAAGATCGTCGTAAAATTGATCATTGTTGTAATCAGTCCCACGCCGTCTATTCATAAATTCAGAAATAGCAGCGCGTTTGGCATCTTCATGTTTCGTTAACCATTTGTCGAAGGGAGATGTAAAAACACCAAATATAGACACATTCGTAACGTATTTCCTCTTTGATTCATACACTAGTAAAGCATAATGCACTGCTTGCTCATTGTTGTATACGTTAACTTTTTTCAATTCTTCGTAACGCTTTGTAAAAATCTGCCAAAAAATAAAAGTAGGTTTAGTTTATTTCAAACAAAACAAGAATTTTGGAAATCAGTTCACAAATGGCGGAGTAATGCGCGAACAAACAAAAAAATAAAATAAAAATAAAAACAATCAGCCGAACATAGTACCTCCTCCTTTTTTGCAGTCGGTAAAAATAGATACTTATTAATATTTATTCAGTGCATGTATGTACATACAATTATTATTATAATATTAGGTTTTTGGGGGTGGGGGAATCATCGTTGACTTCGATCGGGGCCTTGGGCGAGGCGAGAGAGAGAGAATGTCTAACTCTCACGAACTTAAAGCCACCCTGTTCCTACTCCTACTTCAAAGCCGGTACCGCTAGGCCGTCTGCAGTTCACGACATATTATTATTATATAGCTCCATCCGTTTAGCGAAATAAGGATATAATCTGTTTTTGTAAGCAATTGTTGAAGGAGGAGGGTACTTGCCTCGTTTACTGCGGTCTTAAATTCTGTGGTATCGCGCTGCGGTCGTTTAGCGAGGATGTCAGCCATCACTTCAGTCACAGCTTCGTTGTGCAAGTCCTCCAGTGCTCGCGGGTGGAAGCAGCACGTCTGCGGGCCCCATGCCCGCGTTATATAGTTATTGTACGCGTTTTCAGCCGCCTGCATCGCCATCATGTTGCTGTAATTATTCGCTTTTTCCATATCTCCAAAGCAGTCGTTAATTTCCTGAAATAAGTATACAAATATATCTCGTATTGTTACATTATACGACTTACAATGATTACAATACAGAATTTCGATTGAAAGAGTAAGATAATATGTTTCATTAAGTATACATCAAGTGTTGACTATAAAGCTACACATTATACGTAGATGAAAGGCTAATCGAATACGTACTTGTAGAAGACGCGCAATGAATGCGTCATTTGCATGCTCAGTGGGGCGGCTCCTCAAACTGTAGAACGCGGTTTTAGCCAGTTGCACTGCGTCTTCGTGCTGCGTGGACAGTCGCTCTGAGGTGACGCCTGTCTGGTCCATGTCCATCTTCATTCGTCTCACGTATGTGTCCCGAGCCTCCCACACGGCGTTTAAGTTATTCCGATTACTGACCACCGACAAACTCTCATGAAGCTGTTCTAAAGTCTGAAAATATAACATACCTAGTAGCAAAGTTACCTACAACATATTTAAGTGGGTACCTATGGGTTATGTTTTTATTTTCAATCGTTCCCCAGTTAAGTTTACGTTATTGAAACTGTTGGATATGTAGGTACCTACTATAGATATAATATTTAATATTTCTATGGAACCGACTTGTCTACTTAGAGTAACCAAATAAGAATAATAGTAAAAGCTCACTCTTAGTAGATTAGTTTTTTTTATATCTTCTTCGCCTTGGGGCACGTCTCTGGAGGCATCGAAGATTTCGAGCGCCTGTCGCAGAGCATCTGCGTGCAGCTCCTCCAGGTCCTGCGGGTGCAGGCACAGCCGCGCGTGCTCCGCAGACACGCGGCTCACCGCCGCCTCGTAGGCAATCTTAGCGAGGGACATCGTGTCTTGAACCTTAAACTCATTGTCCCGAGTGTGTTGTGCCTGACAAGCGTCTAATTCCTGAAAATTTCAAAGTCTCCTATATACCATTCCGGCACAAACTTGCAGGAAAGTATTTGTAAGTTTATTATTGTCTACCATTTTGAGTGCTTCAAGATGAGCATTAACGTCGGCTTGAGCAGCCAATTTCCTTTTTTCTGTGAAGCGTCTCAGGGCTTGGTCCCGCGCTTCCTCGTGCCATTCAGTGAGTGTTGCGTTGCTGACACTGAAGCTGTCGCGCACGCGCTCTTGCATGTACTTGGTGTACAAATCGCGCGCTTCCCGCGTCGCCGCCAGCAGGCTCGCGTCTGCCGTCGCCTGGAAGTCCCAACCACAACTAGACACTTAAACGTTTAAAAAATAGACACTAAGTAAACACATTTACTTTTTTGTTGCTATAGATGTTCTATCTATGTACATATGTATTACAGTACTGCTGCCGCCTGCAGGCCCGCGTCCGCCGTCGCCTGCCCGACCACACACTAGCCTACACATTCTATGCTACCCGTGTTGCTACCACATCCCTTAAAGAGTCATTGTTGTTGTCAACCATGCAAAGGAAATGAAAGAGTGAACGAATGTTATACCATCACTCAATAGTGTTTGTCCATACCTACTACTTCGTAGTAACATATTGTAAGTGTTGAGATTCCAACACTTTCTTCGAATCTTTTCCCGCTATTATTCCGCCCGGCCACCGAATCTCAATGAAATAGGTTCAGTGGTTTAGAATAAAAAGTTTCAATTTATCCCCAGATTTCAAAAAATTATGGAATTAAATTAGTTTTACCCTACACCCTCCAATTAACACCCATATCCACTCTCTCCGACCGTTGCAACTTGCAGTGCGTTGTCTGTTAGTCAGTCAGTCACTTAGTTCTGAAGAGTTTCATTTATACAGAGGTAATTGTAGATTTCTAAAAATAGGTATGATACGCAAAATAGGTAATAACAAACCTTTAAAATGGTAACTGCTTCTGGTATCTCACCGCTGTTAAAGATATTTAAGTACTTTTTAAAGTAGTTAAGTAAATCTTGACATTGGATGAGCTGGCCTGTCACCAGCTTAGGAACGAGCTGTGTCGGTTCAAACAGGGAAGGAACCAACTCCAAGAGAGTTCTTCGGAAGTCTGGTGTCAGTTCTGAAAAAAATAAATGTTTCTCTTGCTGTCTTAGTGAGACTCTGTACCTACGTAATTGTAACGGTTTACGCACGTGAATTTACTGAGAAAGACACTAATATATAATTACCTATTATAAAATTTAATCAGGTGTGTTGTGGATGAGTCCCATGCAACAGAGAAAATGGGGCTAGGTAAGTTTATTGTCATACACCGGGCACAAATTCAGACTCCGTGATATGTTTGGCAATATTTTTTGAAAACTTTATAAAAATTTCGTTCGCTACTACTGAACCAACCTAGCGGGAAATTCATTATTTCTGAATATGTATGTGATATTGTAAATAAAATAGAATAGAAAAATTCTTTATTGTAGGTACACCATATAAAAAACAACAAAAATAAATACATATACTGACCTCGCAGGCAACCGGCGAAGAATTGGTTGTTCACGGTAAGGCCCGGGTGCGGCATCAGGCAACAAATCATCTTATCGAAACATGACCTTATGTGTTCCCGGACTTCCCGTAACTCTGGCTTTTGGTTCGGGTTTGTCTGGGAATAAACATTTTTTTTTGGGTAAGCCGGTAAACGAGCAGACGGATCACCCAGATGGTAAGCAATCGGCGCCGCCTATGGACTAGACTACTATGGTGTTACAAGTGCGTAACCGGCGTTTTGGAGATTAGGAATTTGAGTATTGTTGAGGATTCAGGGAATGGGGAGATTGGGGAGGGGAGTGGACCTCCGGTAACCTCACTCACACGATGAAACACAACGCAAGTTTTGTTTCACGTCGGTTTTCTGTGGGGCTGTGGTATCACTCCGGTCGAGCCACTCCATTCGTGTCGAAATATGGCATCTCCCACACTTTGTTTTAATACCTCGATAATTACTCTTAGAGGGTCCGTCTATCTACAGTTCATCCAGTTTCCCAAGTTACGTGTCTAATAAGTAAGTTCTAAGTACCTATGCCGTGTAGGTACTGTTACATGTATGAACATCACTAATTAGTAAGTAGTGGCCCCCTCACTATAATGTGTTATATAAGGTAGAACACTTTTTATTAACGCCGCTGTCTACCTGTCATAGTCTAAGTGTGTGTACACGTCGTGCGCTCTGCATATTATTGTAATAAATCCAAGTATTAATAAATCCGTCTACAATTTATTAATCTACCAACATAACAGGTACATTATTATTATTACATTTACAATGAATAGGTTTCACCCATTCTTCAGATCATCGTCATCATTCTGGAGATATTTATAAGTGATCGCAAAAAATAGTCAATTGATAGAACTTTATCCTAATATTGATTTTACCTGTAGCCTTTTGTTGAGTAATGTAGACCCGCCGTAGAATCCATAAGGGTGTTCAAAAGCGTGTGGCCAATCCCTGACGAGGAACAGTAGAGTTTGGAACGCTTTGGATTCAGTGTCGCACGCGAGTCGACCGTACTCCGTGAACAGCTGGCGGATGAAAAACAAGACATTAATTAAATCACAGCGCCCGCTTAACCTAAAATTTAATAAATGTTTGTTCGGTGTTAGTATGGATAATGTAACACAAGACAACCTGCAAGTGCTGTAGATCATCTTCCTTAATGTTACCGGACAGATTGTAGATCTGCACGGACGAGATGAGCGTGGACAGCGCGAAAATCGTCGAGTTCTGGCCTATCGTGGTCTCCGAGTCGAAAGTGCCCTGTGTGTCCATTAGCAACACGGCCACCTGGTAAATAAAGTACCTAATTGTTAAGATCTGTGAACAACCTTCAAAATACAACTAAGACAATAGAATTTCAATTAACATAAACACCTACATAGGTAGGTAACTAGGTATTCGTAGCACGTAATACATGGTGGATATCAGTCTGCTTCAAAATGTTCCGAAGTGTGCATAAACTAATTGAATTGCTATAAATAGCATTCGCTTACATGTGGTTTTCATGTATCTGCAAGACGGGGTACACAATCAGACAATATCTAAATCTAGGTAAGTTTAAAGGAAATGCTACCGACTCGCAGAACTGCCATGGTTCCAATTCAAGGTTAACATACGTTTTAATGTTTTGGTAACAACCTAAATAAATTCACCAAAAGCTCAGAAATGACTTATAACAAAAAGGGTGCAGCACCTTATTACTTTAATAGAGGTATTGAGGTATAACGTTACCCACCTTCTCGCCACTGGGCAGGGTACTGATGATAGGTTTTGACCACAGGTTGATACCAGTGGTGTCCCGATCATCGCCACCTCGCCAGTGAAACCCTTGTAGTGGCTCGTCCTCGGTCCCCAACCAATTGCCATTCACCTGACTCTCGCGCTAAGACATGAGAAGAGAACATGTTTCTATAAACATTTCTATAAGCCTATAGATGCTTACCATAGACGAAGATCGTCTGAATACATAGAAGAAACAGTAGTGAAGGTACTTACAGGCGCGTTGAGGTATCTGAGAAAGAAGTCGAGTATGAAGGACTTGCCACCGCGGTAGGCGCCGGCGACGCTGACTACCACCACGGGCAGGCCGCGCACGTCCTGCCGCAGCAGCACGCGGCGCAGCGCCTCCTCGTCCAGCTCGTACTTCTGCGCGCCCTCGCCCAGCTTCACCACCTGTACGCCCTCGCCCCGTTCCAAGTCGCCCATGTTACCTGACAAATATTAAAGGTATTATGCAAAACTAAGGCCACCACCATTTTGAAGATGTAAATAATACATCCGTCTTAATTAAGTAGGTAAGTATTTTTATGAATTCCTAAAGCAGAAAAATTAAAATTATCATTATCATCATCATCATCATCATCATCATCATCATCGTTGGCGTCAATAGGCAGTGGCACTTCACTTGTGGAGTATGGGCCTCTTCTATATAGGCGGTTTGCAATTTTTACAATTTTCGCGAGTGGCAAAATTAGAGGTCACAGTAAGAGTACTGTATAGGAGAGGCTATGAAGGTTCAGGTTTATCCGACAGCACAGCTTGATATCTGATCTCTGTCATTGACTATTGGATCTGGCAATACCCGCGAGTGGAGTTATACGAATTATACGAATCTTTCATTTTACATTCATAGGTAATACTTTATTTGTAAAATTCCATGTGAATATACTTGAATAACCTCTTCGGGCTCACTAAGTACCACCTACTTAAAACACACCAATACGCACTTCCGCAGTCCTACAAAGTATAGTGATGCTCTGTTCACTATCACGGTAGACCATTAGGTGACCCTCCCTTCCCCACCCCACAATCTTACGTGAGATTTTAAAAAATGTGGGTTTTCTACGTAAACTCTTTGTAGAGTTATTGTAAAAAGATATAAAAAGCTTCGTGCTTTTATTTAAGAGTTTTCCTTCTTCCTTCCTAGTCGTCTTCTTCATTACTGAAGGTCGTGTCTAGTCTGGTGCACGCGTCACTTGATGCACAACCCTCCTCCAAACGCCCCTGTCCTCTGCGGTCTTTATGGCTTGTGGAACTGTCAGGCCGGTTAGGTTTTTTACAGCATCCAACCACCGGGTAGGTGAGCGACCGTGAGGTCTTTTCCCGTTAACCCGACCAACAACCACAAGCTTCTCCAGATTGTTGGGGTCTCTACGCGCAATGTGGCCAAAATAAGTTAATATTCGCTGCAGGCATGCAGTGGACAGCCTCGTAGTAATTCCGATCTCCTTGAGAATGGAGACGTTGGTGCGACGAGCGGTCCAGGGAATACGGAGCATACGTCTCCAGCACCACATTTCGAAGGCGTCAATTTTTGCTCTCTCAGTTTTCCTTAGGGTCCAGGATTCGGCGCCATACAAGAAAATGGAGAAAACCAACGCACGCATCAGCCTCACTTTGGTCTTGCGACATATATTTCGGTCCTTCCATATCTTGGTGAGTTTCGTCATTGCTGATTTGGACATCTGGATTCTCCTTCTGATCTCTCCGTCGCTGCCACCCCCACCATCGATAAGAGAGCCCAGATAAATAAACCGATCCACAAACTCCAAGTCTCTGAGTTCATGTGAGCGAGTGCATGTCCCCATTCTGTCCACAACGAGCACCTTGGTCTTGTTTTTATTTATGGTGAGACCAACCAGTTCGCTCTCCTTCTCTACTCTTGCAATCAACTCAGCCATCTCGCTCTCGGACGATGCAAACAAGGTAGTATCGTCCGCATACCTTAGATTGCTGATTCTCCTGCCACCAACAGACAGCCCACGCTCCCACCCCTCCAGAGCTCGTCTCATTATGTATTCCCCATATATATTAAAGAGAATGGGAGACAGGATACAGCCCTGCCGGACTCCCCTCCGAGGCCTAAATGGATGCGACAGGACGCTGTTTACTTTCACCACGGTGCTTCCATCCCTGTAAAGATTAGCAATGAGAGCCACAAGGTGTTTCGGTACTCCCATTTCCCCCAGGATTTTCCACAGGATTTAAGAGTTATAAGTGTGATTAAAATGTATCAATAGAACTCCGTATAAAAAAAAGAATATCAACTCCCATTCAGTTGGAACCAACGGGTCCATGTGATTTTCAGTAAAATCATCTGCTCCTCTAACTTCGCTTCAGATTTAATCTTACACATTGTACAATCTGGATAATAGACTAAAATAGTATATTTTTTTTGGTCATTAGAAGTAAAGTTACGTGATATTTGCCGAGACGCCCGAGACCTTACCTAAGATTAGATTTGACTCGACTTCCTCTCTCCTTAAACATCTCACGTAACTTATGGACGCCGCGCCGACTATACAATAGATATAAACAATACAAACTGTGTAAATATTGATTAGGTGATACATCATTATGTGAACGATCGATACTTCGGCGTCTTCAGAGAGGTTTTAAAAGAAAACAATCAACCAAGCTTTGTTCATATTATTATGTTCAAATGTACCTAATTCTCCCGCTGGTACTTAACTTTTCAAGTACCTATTTAATAAATACCTACGTATGTGCTGTAACATAACTATAAATAAATATATCGTTAAACTAGCGAACCCCGCGAACTTTGTTTCGCGTTGCAATTTTGTCTGTAGATTTTTGTTTATTTTAAAACGTTAAAAACCCAACAAAAAAAGAATTAGCGAAGTCGGTTCAGCTGTTGTACATACATATGTATAAAGCTGAAGAATTTGTTTGTTTGTTTGATCGCGCTAATCTCCAGATAGTTGAATAATTTAATTTTTATGTTTGGTCACTTCGTAGAGAGACACATACAACTACGTAACTATTCATGATAATAATATGTACTCACCACTATTTGTATAGTCCACCATCTCTTTTAATTAAATTAAAATAGAAATATTTTAATTTATTTCACACTCTTTTGTATTTAGTATACAATAATGAACAGTGAAACACTCATCTACTTCTGGGCAAAGTTCTTTGGTATCTGAAACTTGTTTATAACAATCTCTTCAATTTATAAAGGCTTTCAACCGCTTCAGTGAGTGCACCTAATTTGAACCTTAAGCTGACCCAATAGATACTATATTTTAATGTTTTTGCACTAAGAATCGGGAAACCCTGTGTTATAAATAGAATAAGTGCTTTTAGATACGAAATTTTCACAGTTACCAGTACAAAAAAATCGTACCAAATTGGAAGAAAATAGGAGAACGACGAAATAATTGAGGTAAGTATACGAAAGCTAGTTAGGTAGGTTATGATTTTAAAATAAAACCTTTTTTTATTATGGAACCTACTATGACTTCCATGTAGCCTGAGCCTGTTGTTATTTATTTACTTATTTAAACCTTACCTAAAACTATCATTATATTTTCTCCATTGCGATAATTTAGTCCTAAAACTAAATCTTAGTACCTAATTACTAATTTAAAACGAGACAAAACGAAATCAAAAAGATAGCATACACAATCTTAACTATTGAAAAAAAAGTAAATAAAAAGAAACCTTTTAAGTTAAAAAAAATGTTCCTATAATACACACATTAAAACTTAACATTAATCTATAAAAAAAAATAAAAGAGATGAGTTCACAAGATAAAATGTGGATCCATTGTGTTCTGAGACTGCATATTTCATGAATCGAACGCATTGGTGTGTTAAACGTCCTATGAGCACTTAGGTACATCTCTATGTTGATCCGTTTACGATATATCAATTAATTTATTATACAAATAAGTAGACATTTCGTAATTGTATATCTGGCAATACTAAACATTATTAAAACTTAAGTGTGTTCAGCGGGACTTTCCGCAGCCGCGTAACGGAGTCACGTCATTTCAGATAGTCATAGAGTATAAAAATAGTATCGAAGGTAAGATGAAACTGTGCGTATGTAGTAAGATTAGTCAATGACTTGTAAAACAATAATTTTTCATTGTCTTATTGTTAGGTGGTTGCGACTGCCAAGCAAGAAGTCTCAAGGTTCGATTCTTAGGTTGGACAAAGTATTGTTGCGTAATATCTGCTTTTCAGATGGTTTAAATTGCAATATTATATTTATGTGTAGTTGCTATAATAAGTTCATAGTTCACCTTCTACCTACTTACCTATTCTATACCTTAATAAATAAACAAATATAATGAATAATCGTGATATTTGTGTCAATTATCGTGAATAAATTGATTACTACGTAACACGTACAGACGATAAGGCTTATCATCCAATTCCATCCATACTACTGAGTAAATAGGTATAAACTACATACATACGTACAGTCTATTTGCTTAGTCTTTGTGTTGGATTATACGAATT